ATATATTCGATAATGGGATTATTATTTTCGATGAATAATTGTTTCACCCATTCCAAATCCTTAGTCACATCTTGACTATCCGCTAATCTCATACTCCTAATAATCATTGACTTCAAAATTCTCAAGTTTTGTGATTATTAGTGGAAATAAAATTCAGAAAAGAGCCAAATTATGTTGGCTTCCTATAAGCATATTTTCCTAAATTATCCTTTTTTCCAATGACCAGAAAATCCAATAAGGGTAAGAACCTTTTCTCTCCTATTTCCATTGTGAACCTAATCTTCCCTTCACATTAGGTAAATGAAGTAAGGAAACTATCTAAGCTTTCCGTTACATGTGGCTAGTAAAAGTATAGTTATCCATATATCTAATCAACAATTTGGGGTTAGTATTCCTTTCTCTAATATCTACACTCTAAACTTAACTATATTCTTCGTTCAGATGGGTAGTTAAGCAAGTTGTGTCTGCTCATACAACTTACCGTCAAAGGTAGAATATGTTCTACATATGGATAGACTCAGAAGTCTACGCATAGATACTATACTCAACATTATTCCTTGTATGGTCTCTAGATGTTCCTCCAGAGTTTATGCCACAGTCTGAATAGCTCATTGTACAGGAATATTTGTGTACATAGACTCAGCATCAAAACTTACTAGGCTATCTTCCTATGAAGTAATCAGCTGATCAATTATTTGTACAAACTCATACGAAGATTTAACTAAGTATAGCTAAAAACAACGGTTTTCTGTATTTGTATGCATAGAAAAAGTGAGATTTTATGCAGCAAGCTTACTTTATGATTTATAATTAAACTAAGATGGTTACCCTCCTTGTTCGATTTATTAAGGTCGCAATCTGTGGACATCTTTGCAGCTTTCTTGGGTAGTGAATGTATTTTCTATTTCTTTATTATTTACACATATTGTAAGAGCATCCTTGTTTTGAGTCTCTCAATTTGATTTCTCAGTAAAGGCTCATTAATCTCGGTTTCATCTAAATTAACTGACATTTTTTCTATATATCTTGACGTATCCATAAATACTAGCGCTTCACTTTTGTCGGCTTTCATAACGATTAGATCAGTTCAATTAAATAATCAGAAACTTTACTGAGAATACCAAATTGATTTTGCGCGATTTCCTGGTCAAGATGGCGAATCGCTTCCGGCTCAATGCTATTCTTCACCTCTTCTGGCAACCTATCTGACAAGCTTTTCAATTCAGCCCGTATGTTGATGGCATGGTTTACTTCATTTAGAATAACAAAATTCATTCCTTTTTCTAATAAGATTTCCACACTATCCTCCAGATCTTTACTGGCTAAATTAATTAAGTTATCCTTTACACCTTTGTAAAAGTCATTTTTCTCTCGTGGTCTGTGTAATCCTGTGCATCGTATTAAAGCAAAATGGCTTCAGTTCAACAGGGATCATCTATCGTCTTCTTTTGAAATCGAATTTGGAATCTTATCAACACGCACTTGTAAATTAAACTTTTCCTAATTATTTTATTTTATATATTTATTCTAACACAATTATCTTTCGAATTTTCTATCTTATCGCACCGAGGACTTTCTCATCCCGATTGAACCTTAGTTTTGACTTACCTTTGTCTCATTAGTACACTAAAATGCAGTAAATGTTGTGTCATTTATTTCAGTTAGCGATGACTCTGTCACGCAGTCTGGATTCTAGTAAACACAAATTCATTCACAAGATATATGCGACTGTCAATTCAAACCGGGATTGTTTTATTCTCATCTGCAATGAAGCAATCGTCTATGACAAAAATTATTACTTGACCTTAACATCAATATTGCAACATGGACTAAACTCCGATTTGTTAGACCGGTAAAGTATTATTACTTATCGCATGCATATCAATTTAAAGTCGTACTTGGAGCTCTGATGAAATCGGAAGCATTGATGTCTGTCATGGTGACAAGTTTATCCTCTATTCTAATTCCTTTCCTTTCAGCAAGCTTATGTGTACGAAATCATGATAGCTTTTGGTGGTAGCGGCTAATCAACAGTAGTTGATCAAATCAAAAAATAATTCCCTTAAGGTCATTATATGCCTTTAAATAATAAACTCCATATAAAAGTCCACACCATCTTGGTCTTCATAACTTCGAATATACTCAAAGTTTACTTTCCTTAGAATTTTAAGAATACATGAACTTTTCTTAAAAAGTTAAGTTATTGAAATGCATTTTTTCCTCTACTGCAAATGTCAATGTTGTCAGAAAAGGGATCACTAAATTGTACTGTCCTCAAATAGGCTATTGCATCTTATTTAGGGCTAATTACATCCAAATCTCTCACTTAAACAAAAAGTCTTCACGTATATTTTTCTAATATTAATGTAACCTTCGTCATGCTTTCTCTTTTAAGCGTTACAACGCCTGTGAGGCTCGCTTGCGGTCAAGTACTGTTGAGGTGACTCGACTAAATGAGGACCTGAAGTCTGTGTCCAACAAATTGTCCAGAACAACCTCCAACCTAGATTCCCTGCATGAGCACTCCGCCAACACAGATGCTCGCCTGCTGGAGGCTGAGAGGCAGCTTCGTGAAATCAATGTTTCAGCCGATGAGATGGTTGATCGGGTAGGATTCTATAGAACTTCAGATTTTTAGCTTGTTCTTGGTAGATAGGCTGGAGTATAATGAGATATATAGAACAAACTATCACCTCGTGTGATAAATACTAGTTACTCTTAAGTTCATTAGTTGAGTCAAATCGTTTAGGAAAATTTGCGATGCTTTTAGTTAAAGTCCAGTGAATCTAGTGGCAATTGGATAGCCCAATCGAACATACTACTAGCCATGATATTTCACTTTTTAATATATCTTATTAAAGCAAATCTCCATAATTGAATATATATCAAAGTTCTATTTTGGCAGCCATCATATCCAACATGATGTGAGCCTTTGTATTCGAACTGAATTTAAGGTCCATTAAGAC